AGAACTGCCCGGTAAACCGTAGGCAGAGAGAGAGAGAAGAGGACAACAAACGAGGGGCTGTGACAAACTGTTTCGTCGGAGTTTCACCGACTCATCAGGAGGCTGAACCCTCACCAGTCTGCAGAATCCCCTCACTGATTACACTGTAAATGATAATCTACCTTAACCAAAATCAAAGTAGACTATCACTCACCCACACCAGATCGTTCACACCCCATCACAAGCCAGCAAAACATCCAAAAAACAAAGAAAGGTCTGTCACAGCCAAAAAATACACTCCAGACGCCGCTGGCACTAGAGGCACAGCATGGCCGCCTAGTAACGGCCCCGACCACTGCCGCTCGACCTGATATCGTCATATATTGTCACACTGAATCAGAGCGCGAAGGCGAAAGAAAGCAAAACAAGGAAAGGAAAGCCTTACCTGCTCATCACCTTTTACGTACAAGGCCAGCCACATGGATGACAGGTTAAGCGCTCGCTGGCCCCATCCCCGTGTGCCACAAGGACCCACTTGCACGCAGCCAAAAGGCAAAGAGGTAAAGAAAAGGAGGAGGAAACCAAACCTGACAGGGAAAGAAAGCGTATCAGCCAAACAAAGCAAATGACACATCCCACAGATAATCCAATTGTCACAAAGCAAATAACACATCCCATAGATCAACATATTTTCTCTTTTTTCTTTATCTGTCCCCACCTCGGCAGATAGGACAGCTACGGTGAGGATGATGTGGATGTTCACAAGGATACCCAAGGAGAGTTGCACCAGCACAACATTCAGCAGGACGGCTAGCACGAACCATCCCATCAAAACAGTCCTGACAGAGGACATGTTGTCCACATGTCAAAAGAACAACAGGACGTTCATCACAGTGCGGCATCATGCAGTTCTGATAGCGTCCGTATCATTCTCAATGGGATGGTTACTCGGTTCCATGTGCTATCTGCTTTGGCTTTGAATACTTGGACTTCAGTGTGATTTTGCATTCTGGATTTCTGTGCTTCGTCCATACTCATGTTCCTTGCAGAATTCTCAGAACGAAAAAAAAAGTTCTCGGAAACCTAATTTCGCGGAAAAATAATTTTTTGGAAAAGAATAATAATGTCTCGAAGAATTTCCTCGGAAAAGAAAAAAAAAATAATTTCTCCACAAAAAAAAAAATTCTCGAAAAAAGAAATAATTTCTCGGAAAAAACTTTCTCGGAAAAARAAATAATTTCTCGAAAAAAAAAAATTCTCGAAAAAAGAAATTAATTGCTCGGAAAGACTTTTCTCGGAGAAAGAAATAATTTCTCGGAAAAAAAAAAAAAAATCTCAAAAAAAAATAATTTCTCGGAAAAAAAAATTCTC